GTGCTCCTCGATGTTACTCTAAAGAGGTGTTGAAGACTATATTCATTTCGGAGAGTTTTTGATGAAGAGATGTCTTCCTTTTTTCCGGTTCGAAACCACTTTTTCGTAGTGTGGCAATACTAAGGGCCACCGAAGCATCTGGGTTTCTCCTACATAGGCGTTTTGGAGTCTTTGTGTTGTAGTTGACAGTTGAAATCGCTCGTGGTGAAGAAAGCACTCGTGCATGTTTCATCGTCGCTCAGCGGGAAACTCGATACATCCCAGAGATCTCAATGAATCCGAGAGACTCCAACTGTGGCTCCAAACTCACTCACAGAGAGAAACACGGTATAGTCTGGTCACTACTCAGAACTGTTTATCCCCATCCAATTTGACCCTAGCAGTACGATCCGTATCCTTATCACGAAAGAGTAGATAGAATTACTCGAAAGCAGGGGTGAATGAACCGATCGTGGTGACTACATGACGGGATAACACAGTCGTAAAGGCTTCACTGACTCGAGAGAGTCCATTTTAGGCGTATTTACGAGAGAGCTCGTTCCACGTGTCGGGGACTATCTAACAGACACGATTCAGCTCGGTACAAGTTCATGGCGATGATCCCCTGCTCAGTAGAATCGCTCGTGGCCTTCAGTGTCAAATGCGAGAGCAGTAACTGCTGTATTGTGAGCTTTTCTTTCTTTTGGCTTTAGTACATAGAGAACACAATCAAGCTTCGGAGCGTTGAAACCGAATAGCGAGAGCATGAGCAGCATGGACCAACAAAAATCGCTATAATACTGCTGGTGGGGTGAAGGGCACCTCTACGCTTGGTGGACCCCAGTCTGAGATGCCTGTTGAGTTCGCATGTGGTTAATGTGCTACTCACTCGTTTTGCAATTTCCTTTCGCTGTGCAAGTATAGTGGTAGTTGGTACGAGCTCGAATTCTGAACCAGTACTCGCGACCGGGCTCGAGGCCAACAAATTCGGCGGCTAAATCCTCAGGATTCGGTTGCTGTGTAGAGTTCACTGTGAGCGGTACGAGTCTGATAATGAATGAAACCACAGTTCAGTCATGACGTCGTCCTCACAAATTCTCATGAGTACTTACCTGACTGGAGACCAGAGACCGTCAAGATTCGATATCACCGTGTCGTACATCTCGACAAGATATTGGACTATGATATGGCACCCAGTGTACGTGGGCTCCTGCCAGGTTATATATGCATTAGAAGCATTATTCGGTGATGGTACCGCTCGAGGATCGATGGGCGTGCCAGGAAGGTCCGAGGTGTCAGTACAAGCTCTCCAATCTGGGTTCTCTGACCCGTCACCAACTAGTGTCCACAATCGCAATGTAATGCAGAACAAACCTCCACATGTGGCCTCGGTCGGGACTGCGATGATGGTGCTAGTAACGTTCGCCGATGCCGCAGTCCTGTAAGCTTCAGAAGGCGTATAGTTACCGGTAAACGCATAAGCGTATAAGACGTAACCCCACGCGTCCCTCCTAGTCCCATAAATATCGGGGATCATCAACAACGATTCATCATCAAGCTGAGGCCAGGACACTCCCACATGTGTCTTGTTGACCATAGAGAACCACAAGCCAAGCCTCTCGGGCAGAGGCAATGGCCTATTCCCAACCCATATCGATGCCACTTCGCTCCACTGACTTTGTCCAGCAGTGTTCACACTAGCCATACGGAACTCGAACTCTTGGCTTCGTGTTAGATTATCGCTTTCATCAAGTCGATACGGCCCTTGCTCCACGCCACTTGGGTAGCGCGGAATGGTGAAGAACTCAGAGCTCTCGCCAACTGAGCGATACTGGATTATATAACTCGTGACGGGGCTATGACCAGTGTAAGTCGGAGCGGTCCAATAC